GTGCGCGTATGTGTGTGTGATATGTGAGTGTGTGTGTGTACGTAATATGTGTGTCTAGTGAAGTGTGTGTGTATGTGTGTGTGTATAGGTGAGTAATTGTGTGTCTGTATAACGTGCGCATATGTGTGTGTTATGAGTGTGTGTGTGTGTACGTAATATGTGTGTCTAGCGAAGTGTGTATGTGTGTATAGGTGTCTAACTGTGTGTCTGTATATTGTGCACATATGTGTGTGTTATATGTGAGTGTGTGTGTGTGTGTATTTAATATGTGTGTCTAGCGAAGTGTGTGTGTGTGTGTATATATTGCGTGTATGTGTGTGTTATTTGAAATATGTGTGTCTAGCGAAGTGTGTGTGTGTGTGTATGTATGTGTGTATAGGTGTCTAACTGTGTGTCTGTATATTGTGTGCTTATGAGTGTTATATGTGAGTGTGTGTGTATGTAATATGTGTGTCTAGCGTAGTGTGTGTGTTTGTGTGTCTGTATATATTGCGCGTATGTGTGTGTTTTATGTGAAGTGTGCGAGTGTGTGTGCATGTGTGTGTGTGTATGCATAATATGCAAGTGTGTGTGTGTGTGTGTGTGTATAGGTGAGTAATTGTGTGTCTGTAAATTGTGCGCGTATGTGTGCATTATATGTGAGTGTGTGTACGTAATATGTGTGTCTAGCAAAGTGTGTGAGTGTGTGTGTGTGTGTGTGCATAATATGCAAGTGTATATGTGTGTGTGTATATGTGTGTGTCTGTATATTGTGCGTGTTTGTGTGTTATATGTGAGTGTGTGTGTATGTAATATGTGTGTGTGTTTGTGTGTGTGTGCATAAATATGTGTGTGTGTGTGTGTGTGTGTGTGTCTGTATGCATAAATATGTGTGTGTGTGTGTGTTTTATACTGTAACAGTGCTTTAAGGTGGTTTAAGTTAATGTGTAGCAGTGATGATTAACTAGCGTTGTTTGTATTTTAGGACAGTTTTCTGAGAATGACCCCTGAAACCTTGTCCTCTGATCCTCTGTTAAATCTGTTATTTATTTAGAGAAACTAATCTTCAGGCTTGCCATTCTACAATGCGGTTTACGTGAATGTCATTGACCCCAGTGCAAAAATAAAATCTTGAACACAACTTTTAATTGCCGTTCTTTATGATGTTTAAATCCCTCTCTCTGTCTTATTTCTAGAATGTAAACATTATTATGTCACGTCCTCTGTGTAAACACTGTGCCACATGTGGACCTGTGGACTGCAAGGTCAATATCACGTTGTAGAGAAGTTGTGAGCACAACCTTTCATATGATTCCAGGGTCATATTGTTGATAAAGTCCACTGCTAACTGATAATTCCTGAGTATTTCCATGTATTGTGGTTAGCTGTAAACAAACTGACTTTCAGTGCAAATAGTTGTACTTGTTAATGCATGTTGTTATTCTTATATAGTCCTAAATGCATCAGACATTTATTCAGAATAACTTAAAATAAGGTGGATATTGTCAGAAGAATTAGACTGTGTGTGTGTGTGTGTGTGTGTGTGTGTGTGTGTGTGTGTGTGTGTGTGTGTGTGTGTGTGTGTGTGTGTGTAATACTGATGCTGATCATATATTTATGTACAGTTGGAGTCTGAATTATTTGCCCTTCTGTGATTTTTCCTCTTCAAATATTTTCCAAATGATGTTGAACAGATTCAGGAATTTTTCACTGTATTTCCTATCATATTTGTTCTTCTGGAAAAAAAGTCTTATTTGTTTTATTTCGGCTTTTCATTTTTTACACTACCAGTAAAAGTACAAATATACTGAAGTGCTAAATAACTGAATGTAAATATAAAGATATTAAAGAAACTCTTAAACCTCTTTCTGAATCCATTCAGCTGAACTCCGGGTCTGGTGAGAGCACTTTTAGCTTAGCTTAGCATAGATCACTGAATCAGATTAGACCATTAGCATCTCAAAAAGTGACTGAAGAGTTTTGAGTATTTTTTTATGTAAAGCTCGACTCTTCTGTCGTCACGTTGTGTACTAAGAGAGAAAGTGGCATGTAGTTATTTTCTAGGCCGATATGGCTACCCACATAGCAAAATTTCTCTGGCCCAAACCATTAGGTTTTGCTTGGCCCACATGCCGCAGTGAATTACGGTACATAACTGGACCAAGTCTGGCTTCGAGACAAGGGCCAAACATGGACCATATCTGGGCCAAGTCTCAGCCAAGTTAATAACTCATAACTGGGCCTGAACTGGGCTAGATATGTTGATGTGTCAGGACTTCAATTAAATTAATAAACCTTTGAAGTGTTACGCTTTAGGGACACTATGGGCGTGCTTTTTCTCAAAGCGACCTGATTGGTAGAATTTTTTTCTTTACTAAAAAACTATATATATATATTTTTTGGGGGTTTTCACCTTTATTTTTGATAGGACAGTAGAGAGAATTGACAGGGAAGCATGGGGAGCAAAGAGAGGGGAAGGATCGCTAGGCGGAATCGAACCCGGGTAGCCGCAAGCACAGGAGTGCATGTGTCGACACACTTACCACTACACCACTGGTAAAAGCTATTTTAATGTAACCAACCAAAGAAATCTATATATGCAAAGAAAACCAAACTTGTTAGTCTACAAATGAAGTTCTGTGTGATAAACTGAAATGACGCAGAGTAAAAATATTGAACACATGAGGAACAGAAGGTGTGGAAAGACATGGCAAGCCCAGACAGCAGCTGAAATCTCTAAGTAGTTCTTCAGCAACCCTCTGCGCTTCCTTAGTATACATTAATATATCAGCTGCTTCAGTCCAGCATATACAATAGCAGGAGGAGGATGAACCCAGGGTGGACTTTTCAGCAAGACAATGAGCCAAAACACAGCCGAGGAGACTCTCAGATGCTTTCAGAGAAAGAAAATCAAGCTGTAGAATGGCCCAGCCAATCACCTGATCTGAATCTAATAGAAAATACAAGATAAAGCTCAGATTTAATAGACGAGACCCACAGAAGCATCAAGATTTTGACACTGTGTTGACGTTTGTGAAAAACTCACACCTGAGCACTGCATGTGCCTTCATTCCCCAGTTGAGAGGCGTCTTTAAGCTGCAGCACCAAAAAAAAAAACACCTAATATATAAAGCATTGAATACATTTCAGTAGTTCAGCATTTTCCCCTTGTGTCATTTCACTGTTATTACACAGAACTCATTGTTCAGATTTGTTTGTTTGTTTTATTTTTATGTCTGTCTTGCTCGTGGTTTTACCTAAATATGCTTTAATTCCATGTCAACAGCTCCTTTAGAAATATTATTCCCAGGACAAAACATGATGTGTTCAATGCTTATTTCCCCCACTGTAGTGCTTTCGCATTGTTTTGGTCTCACTGCATTTTTGAACTAAGAAGAAAGGCTACAGGATTATCTCTGAAGACCTTTTATTATTATTATTATTATTGTCCTATTATTATTAAATCTTATTATTATTATATCTTATTATTATTATTGTCTTATTATTATTAAATATTATTATTATATCTTATTATTATTATTGGTATTATTGTCTTATTATTATATCTTATTATTATTATATCTTATTATTATTGTTGTCTTATTATTATATCTTATTATTTTTAAATATTATATCTTATTATTATTGTCTTATTATTATTAAATCTTATTATTATTATATCTTATTATTATTGGTATTATTGTCTTATTATTATTAAATCTTATTATTATTATATCTTATTATTATTATTGGTATTATTGTCTTATTATTATTATATCTTATTATTATTATTGTCTTATTATTATATCTTATTATTTTTAAATATTATTATATCTTATTATTATTGTCTTATTATTATAATATCTTATTATTATTGTCTTATTATATCTTATTATTATTACTGTTGTTATTATAATTATATCTTATTATTATTGTTAATATTATATCTTATTATTATTGTCTTATTATTATATCTTATTATTATTGTTAATATTATATCTTATTATTATTGTCTTATTATTATATCTTATTATTATTGTTAATATTATATCTTATTATTATTAATCTTATTATTATTACTGTTGTTCTTATTATTATATCTTATTATTATTGTTAATATTATATCTTATTATTATTATTGTTATTATTGTCTTATTATTATATCTTATTATTATTGTCTTATTATTATATCTTATTATTATTGTCTTATTATTATTATATCTTATTATTATTATTATTATATCTTATTATTATTGTAATATTATTATTATTATATATTCATATTTAACCCAGGCTCATTCTGAAATCGTACCTCTATATACATTTCTGTAGACATGTATGTCAAAATATGTCCTAGGAGGAACATTTTTTGCAATCCACAAGAGGCCGCTGTGTACACTTTTTAAGATCTCAAATTTCTCTGGCGAGTGCCATTCACGCCTGCTGTTCTCGCATAAACCCACTAGAGGCCGCTGTTGACTGACTTACTGACAGACCAATCGACTGACCCTCTCTGCGCCTTCCCCAAACCCAACCAATATTATTGATTGACCCGCCCACCCACTTCCCTAAACCCAACCAACAATTTTCAAAAGCAATGCAGAAAAAGAAAAGCCCTCGTCTGATTCTTACCACATTCTCACCCTGTTTTTTACTTATTTTAATTTTTTTATGATTCTGTCTTACCTGCTTTCTGGAACCGTTTCCGAACCCCGTCCTCGCGGTCAACTCCTCTCTTCATGTCAAGTCCACTGAGGTACATGGCGAGCTAACAGGACAAACTGGTTACAGCTGGAACGCCCTCCATAGGGATTTAAGCAGTCGCCCCGTAGCTTTCGCTTAAAAAATTAAATGAAGCCATATGTACCTCTGGCTACATAATTAGCGGTCTCCAGAAACGTATATAGGGCTACATTTTCAGAATGAGCCTATGTTGTTGTTTTTATTATTATTAATACTGCCTTACCATTACAAAATGATCTCTGCTATGTTTTGAAACCATTATTTGACACCCACTCGTGCTCGTCAGACAAGAGTATTTATTGACTGAACATCCAGAAGACATTTACACTGAATGATTGAATGTTTAGACTGAGTAACATGGGATGAAAATCGGATAAAACCAGTTTTAGTTACTGTTTAGGAGAAGATGTGGGCCGGGGGAGGTCTGGAGGGCCCCTGCACAGACGAGGCGGAGGGAAAGGGCATATCGGATAAATAGAGGGGGGGATTTTTACATAGCCGTGGCACGGGAATTCATGGCGCCCCCCCTCTGGTGAAGGCTCTGGGACTCCTGTTGGACTTTTTGGACAGGGGTGTTCGGGATGGAATCTGTGATCATGTTTTTTGTCCTTGTCATCATGGTGTCTGTGCTCAGGACGGCCCCCGTGATCATGTTTTTTGTCCTTGTCTCCATGTGCATGCTCTGAACGACCCCCATGTTCAGGATGACCCTCATGACCAGGCTTTTTGTCCTTGTCTCCATGTGCATGCTCTGGACGACCCCCATGTCCTGGTTTTTTGTCCTTGTCTCCATGTGCATGCTCTGGGCGACCCCCATGTTCAGGACGACCCCCGTGATCATGTTTTTTGTCTCCACGCTCGGGAGGTCCCCTGTGACCATGACCCTTGTCCCAGTGTCCTCTATGGTCTGGCCCGAGTGGGTGAACGCTCCCTGGGCGGTGGTCATGAAATTTGCAGTCTCTTCTTGACTGAGCGGGGTGTTGCATGGGATGAGTGAAGTTCTGGAGACCATTAGAGCACAAGCATTACATAGCAAGAAGAGACGATTACTTTTATTAGAGGGTGACCAGGCATCTCGTTTTACCTGGGACAGGAAACAGAATCTCACGGCAGTTTGTAACTTTGTTTTTGTGGCTTGGTTTGAGGAATCATAGTTAATGTTTTAGGCAACCCAGGCTCATTCTGGAAACGTAGCCCTGCGGACGTTTCTGGAGACCCCGATTGGCTGGAGGTACGTATGGCCGCATTTCGTTTTTTTACTCGAGCGAACGTTACGGGGCCGTGTGTGTGACGCCGCTCCTCGTCTTCGCGCTCGCAGGCTGATAGCTCGCCTCAACCAGTTTGTCCACTTAGCTCGTGGTGTTACGTCAGCGGAGTGGAGGCGGAGGCGACAACCGGGTTCGAGTCCGGGGAAGAGTGGTTCCAGAAATCAGTAGAGATGAAAAACAGAATCCAAAAAATGAAAGCGAGTTTGTGACAGGGCAAGAACGCGGTGAGATCCGAAAATGCGGTCAAAATCGGACGAGGGCTTTTGCTTTTCTTTTCCGGACGGCTTTTGCAAATCGGCGATTGGGTTTAGGGAAGGAGGGTGGCTGGGTCGCCCGCACAGTCGATCGTTCGGTCATTCAGTCAGTCGCACAGACGGTCGCTCGACAGCAGCCTCTGGCGGCTTTTCATGCTAGAACATCGCAGGCGCAAACAGCGCGCACTCCCGAGAGGCGTTCGAAACACGGAAATCGCCGCTTGGGTTTAGGGAAGGAGGGTGGCTGGGTCGCCCGCACAGTCGATCGTTCGGTCATTCAGTCAGTCGCACAGACGGTCGCTCGACAGCGGCCTCCGGCGGCTTTTCATGCTAGAACATCGCAGGCGCAAACAGCGCGCACTCCCGAGAGGCGTTCGAAACACGGAAATCGCCGCTTGGGTTTAGGGAAGGAGGGTGGCTGGGTCGCCCGCCCAGTCGATTGTTCGGTAATTCAGTCAGTCGGATGGACGGTCGCTCGACAGCGGCCTCCGGCAGCTTTTCATGCGAGAACAGTGCGGGCGCAAACAACGCGCACTCCCGAGAGGCGTTCAAGACACGGAAATCGCCGCTTGGGTTTAGGGAAGGAGGGTGGCTGGGTCGCCCCCCCAGTCGATCGTTCGGTCATTCAGTCAGTCGGACAGACGGACGGTCGCTCGACAGCAGCCTCCGGCAGCTTTTCATGCAAGAACAGCGCGGGCGCAAACAGCGCGCACTCCCGAGAAGCATTCGAGACGAGAAAAAAAACTGTGGCCTCTTGCGGATTTGCGAAAACAAAAACTGCACAAACAGGTACCTCCCGGGACGTATTTTGCGGTTTCCAGAAAAGTCGGCGGGGCTACGTTTCCACAATGAGCCTGGGTTGGTTTTAGGTCATAAATTGTGGATGAATATTGATTTTCTGAATTGCCGTTAAAATGCATATGTGTGTGCGTGTGTATTATGAGATAATTTTATGCATAATTAAAATGTAATATATTTATTAAATTATTTCTGTTTGGGTTGGGTGGAGGGAGACAGAGAAATCTGGTCACCCTGTGTAATGTGTAGTGTATGAATACCTGATCCTCGTAAATCTCACACTCCACTTCTGGTTCCTCAGATCCAACCTTACTGGACTTACAGAAGCCATAGGTCTGGGGAAAGAGAGGCATTCAGAACTACAGATCTTAAAGCAACTTAATTTAACCCCAGGTTTAGGTATATTTGTATTTAGAAGTGGAGTCAGCACTGCTTTTCGCGTGTTGTAACCACGCTTTAGAGAAAATCGCATGCTTTGGACAACTACAGAAACAATGTGCACTGTATATTAACAGTCATACAAACATCTTAAATACTACACTCGCAGAAAAAGGTACACAGCCATCACTCCAAACCTTAACATGGAAGACAGCTGCTCTTCTCCTGGTTAACCTGTAGTTCATCTAGCTCAGATGTTGGACCATCATGCCCTGTATGCGCACTTGATTGACACAGAGACTGAGCTAAATCGATTAGTGATGGGTCGTTCATGAACGATTCGTTCATTTTAAACGAATCTTCAATATGACTCGGGAACTACGAGTGCTCTCAGGGAGTGATTCGTTCATCTGCGTGTGCGCACATTTGTGCAGGTGGTATCGTTCATTTCAAGTCTTTTGAGTTGTTCATCGTGGAAAGACAGAAGCCAATCATATGCGTTTAGAATTATGATTGGCTATGATTGAAAACGAATTGATGCATTCATCTCTCGAGTCCTCTATCGTCTCTGAGTCATTCGTTCATCTCTGGCCAATCATATGCGTTTAGAGTAGGACAAAGAATTGAAGGATTTGAAGGATAATTTAAATGAATGAACATGTAGTGCACTTACTGCCTGATCTCCACATAAAGCCTTGCATGCTTCTGGGTTTTGCGGAGCATCCTTTTTTGTACAGTTTGTCTCCATAATGGCAAACTGAGTAAAGTAGCTTTGACCCATAGGCATCCACTAAAAGCAGAGAAATATTCTGTTAACATACAATCGGAAACCACTTGCGAAGGGCGGTGCAAGGATTCTACTCAAACAGTTGTCTTGTATTTCACAGAATGGCTCATACAACAGAATTACACCACCAGAAATTGATATATAAGAGATTTAATTGGAAACTAGATAAAGGCAGGTTACAAACTCAGAAAGGAATTCGCCCATTTCATCAAATTCATCAAGAAAGCTGCAAAAATAATTGAACTGATCTTATTTTTGCCTTATTGAAAGATAAATCTAGACTCCTGCCACCTACTAGATTGGAGAGAAGCTTGGCACAGATTTTGATTTTAGTAAATGTCAGTTTTGTGTATCTGATCCTTATTTTCTGTGATAACATGTAAGATTTGAGTTGCTAATTCTCTTCAATTGCTCTGCAAGATTGTCTTTAAACTGTAAAAGCTGAATTTGTCTAGTTTGTTTATTGCCAAATGTTATCTAAACGCAGGGGTGTCCAAACTCGGTGGGCCGGTGTCCTGCAGGTTTTAGCGCCAACTTACCTCAACACACCTGCAAGGACTTCTCTAGAGCAGGGGTCACCAATCTCGTTCCTGGAGGTCCGGTGCCCTGCAGGGTTTATCTCCAGCTTGCCTCAACACACCTGCCTGGATGTTTCAAGTACACCTAGTAAGAGCTTGATTAGCTTGTTCAGGTGTGTTTGATTAGGGTTGGAGGTAAAATCTGCAGGACACCGGAGCTCCAGGAACAAGTTTGGTGACCCCTGCTCTAGAAAGCTTGGTACAGCGGTGTCCAAACTCGGTCCTGAAGGGCCGGTGTCCTGGAGAGTTTAGCTCCAACCCAAATCAAACACACCTGAACAAGCTAATCAAGCTCTTACTAGATATACTAGAAATTTCCTGGCAGTTGTGTTGAAGCAAGTTAGAGCAAAACTCAGCAGGACACCGGCCCTCCAAGATTCTCAATATGTGCTCTTGTGTAATGTCATTATCAACCGCAAATGTTCAGTTCCAAAACTCAAGACCGCAAGAAAGGAGGATGTGTGAAAGTTCCCGGATGTGTTCTTACTATCAAGCATGCACCAATGCAGGAACGCCAAACTAGCTCTAGAAGTCTCAGAGGTCATTGAGACTGAATAATATTTTATATAGATCTATTATTGATGTTCAGAGATGTAACTTATTTATCTCAAAAGTTTCCCTAAATGAAACAGTGAAAGTAAACATTAACATGAAAATCTTGATAGAGGCGTCAACACATTCACGTCCCATTCACACGGGGCTTCAGCGTCAACACTTGACTGAAAGCGTGTGTGAAGTTGGGGCTGAAGCGATCGTCATAGCAGCGTCAGCCAATGAAATTCAGTCAGCAATAGGCCACTGTCTAGCTGGTGTATTTGCATACAGTGATCTGATTGGCTGACGCTTCCGTCGGCGCTTGAAAAGTTGAGCAAGTCCCAACTTCTGCAGCGAGCAACGCCTCTGAAGTGGTGCCGACTGATCCACAATGCAGTTCGGCAACGCCTGACGTCACCCATTCAAAGTGAATGGGAAGCGTTGACGCTGACGCCCCGTGTGAATGGGGCGTAAGGGTGTTTATTTGATAGAGTACGTATTAAAATCTGTTTTATTTGTTTCAAAAGTTCACATTTAGCTGATGATTGATTATAAAGCGTGTTTGGCATGCTGTCCCGGGAGAGAGACCTGAGCTCTTAAGATCCTCGAGCCCAGGGCTCCTTCCCGTTTGCAAAGCAAGAGGGGAGTTTGAGATCAGGTAGATCTGGAGAACTCCCCTGCTGTAGTAGCTCATGAACAGAGAGTGATCGCTGTAAGAGATATCTACTGACTAGGAGCATGTCTAAGATGCAGATTTGGATTTTAAAAGAGTTGCTAGAATCATCTCTCGGACTTATCTTGTGTTAAATATTTTAGCTAAAACCCATGTCTGAGGGACGACACCTGTGAGCTGATCCTTCCCACTTCCATCAGCTTAAAGTAAGACTTGTGGTTGGACTGTTTGTTGAACTTGGCCAGGGCAGCGTTCACACTCTCCAGAGCCTTGGGTTCATGCAAGGGCAGAAGACCGGGGCAGTCGGGGCATTTCTTCACAAGATCTTCATGTGAAGCTGCAACAAAATACAGAACGCAGATTAGTGTAGCAGTTGCATGACTTGATTGCGGTATCGGTTAAAGTACAAATAAAGTAACCATGTTGATTTTGTTAGCTCACATTGCTAGTTCTGTGGTGAATTCATCTGTGCATGGCATAAAGGACGGCACAAATAGTTTGCCCTTGCAGTCTTTAATGTAAATCTGAAAAAGCACTTCGTGTTTGTTTGCAGTTAAATTCTCAAGATTAAAGCTGCGGTCACACTAGAGTTTGAGCTTGCGACATTCTGTCGTACGGCTGTATGAAAAGGGGCGGGATTAAACAAGATGATCAGACATTTAAAGAGCGAGCGATTGTGTAGTGCGCCAGTGGTGTAGTGGTTAGTGCATCAACACATGCACTCTGGTGCTCGCGACGACCCGGTTTCGATTCTGCCTTGCGGTCCTATGCCAATCCTTCCCCTCCCTTTGCTTTCCTGTCAATTCTCTCTACTGTCCTTTCAAAAATAAAGGTGAAAACCCCGAAAAATAATTATAAAAAGAAAGAAAAAAAAGCAAGCGATTGCTCCATATTTTAAATTTCTGTGCAGAGAGCTCATGTTTTGATCCTCGATTGGTCTCGCACACTCAAGTAATACGATTTCGCAGGTCAGAGTTCACCAAGCTTGAACTTTGCACCGCAGCGACCTACGAAACTTGACGCATGACCTTGCGTTTCTAGTCTGTCGCATTCGCATGTCAATGTTCTGATGAGTTTCAGATTGAGATTGAGGTGTGTTTGATTAGGACGAGGTTGAAACTGTGTACTGTCAGTGTGCCTTCAGGAGCAGGGTTGGGAAACACTGACTTGAATAACTGATTTGTCTACAGCACCTGGTTCAGTGTCACAGTTGTAGCGTTTCACCGCTGCCTTCCCCTCAAAACTGGAGACGGTCACGTTACATTTGGCAGTCACTTTCTTTAAAGGGAACATCGGAAGGATGTTAAAGGAAATCCTGAGCATTTAAAGAGAGTAAATCTTGAAGCTCGTGATGGCGTTCAGCTCACCGTCTCGGTTTCCAGTCTCCTGTCACACTGATCTAAAGGTTTGGGATTCACAATGTGACATTCGGTTTCCTCCAAGGTAACTCCAAAGACGACTTCGCAAGAATCAGCCTGCATAGAAACAAGCATGTGCACATTAATAAAGCCTTGCAGATGTAGAAAGGAAAAGCTTTACAGTAAGATACATTCGTTAATGCATTTACTAACATGAACAATACATGTATTACAGTATTTGTTATTTTATTGTTAAATAATGATAATACTGTGTTGGTTCATGTTATGAATTTGGATCTTAATGCATTAGAAAAGTTTGCACTATGATTAATAATTGCTGTACAAAGCTCTGCTTAGTTAGTAAATGTACTAATACAACATTATTGTAAAGTGTTAGCAGAAAGAGTCTTAAAAAGAGGCGACTCACTTTCTTCTCTGCGCTGCGGCTGTCCTGGGACACAAACCTGAATTTATATCCATGGTGGTGATGTGCATTGATGAACTGCTCGGCTGCTAATACGGCATTGTTGTCCTGATTTTCCTGGCAATTATATTCCACGCCGCTGTCTTTTGGGAGACTGGCTGCGTGTAAAGCCGAGACCAGCGCTGCTAATATCACCAGCTCTCTCATGCTGCATAAGAATCCTCAACAAAGAAAGAAAACATCCTCCTCTCTTGTTCAGAGCTTTATAATATAGACCGTAGGAGGGGGGAATGAGCAGACTCTTCAGAAATGCTTGCCAATGACAGCCAAAACAAATATAAAAGGGGGACAGGATGTCATGGCAGTTTGTTTACTCGCTGACTATTAGCAGAGATCAACATGGTTTCAGTGTGGCATTGGAAAAAAGTCTAATGTGTTTAAGTTTTTACACTTTTAAATTGTATTTAAATAAACATTATGTTCTGAATTAATTTGCCATACACTGCCTTGGTTTAATAAGTTTGTTCTCTGATATCTACATTGTCTGGTTTAGGTAAGTTTAAACTACACATGAAGTCAAAACAGACCTTATTGATCTTGTTAGCTTACGTTGCTAGCTTTGTGGTGAACAATTCATCTGTGCATGTCAGTAAGAAAAACAAAAATAGTTTGCCCTTGTGATCTTTAATTGAAATCTAGTTCAATTCTCAGATTAGATCTGCCTGAGGTAGTGGGCGTGGCTAACATACTAAACCACGCCTCTCCAGCCTTGACAACAAACAGAAATGGTGAGCAGGAGGAGTCTGTTAGGTGATGTTAAGGTTTTGTCATCAAATTGATTTACATTTTTGATGGTGTTTGTTGTTGTGTTTACTTTTTGTTTCATGTTTTTGACGTTGCAGGATAATTATTTCATATTTCCTCAAAGAAGCATTGTAAACATAACAAAAAGTTTCACATGATATACACAAAACTTCTTCTTCTTTTTCTTCTTCATCTTAATCTTCCTCCTCTACGTCTTGCTCTTCTTCTTTTCCTCATTGGTTGGAGATATCAAAAAAACCCTGTATTCACCAATCAAAAAAACCTGCAGTATCTACAAGAAGCCCGCAGTCACAATCCCCTGTAGGCCAGGTGGGCGTTATTCATTACCTGATTTGACATTTCCAGGTTATAAGAATAGCAAAACAGATGCCCTTTCCTCTATACAAGGCCCTGAAGATGCTCCTATCGCCCCATTAACTCGGGGCCTCAGCGTCAACGCTTGACTGAGGGCGTGTCTGAAGTTAGGGCTGACGCGATAGTCATAGCAGCGTCAGCCAATGAAATCAGTCAGCACTAGGCCACTGTCTGAGCTGGTGTATTTGCATACAGTGATCTGATTGGCTGACGCTTCCGTCGGCGCATAAAAAGTTGAGCAAGTCCCAACTTTGGCAGCGAGTAACGCCACTGAAGACAGATCCATAATGCAGTTCGGCAACGCCTGACGTCACCCATTCAAAGTGAATGGAAAGCGTTGAAGCTAATGCCCTGATTCACCTGATTAGTCCCGCACCTGCACGTCATCATCACTCATTACCCCAGCACCATAAGGGCATGCATCACTCTGCATTCACTGTTCGGCCTCGTTTCAACAACGGACGACTGCATTCTCCATTAGGTCAGTGTCTATAGCTATATTGAAGATACTCACCACTGTCTCCAGTGTCTGTGTCTTTCTCCGAGTGTTGGTCTTGCCTGGTTCCCAGTCTGGTTGTGTTTGGTCTCCGTGTCTCTCTCTGTGTTCCTGCATCCCGTCATCATCCATCCGCTCAGGCCATCTTCAACCTGTTTCATGTGTTTCCAAGCTGTTCATATACTTACCACCCTGGTTCCTGTATCCTTCTGACGGATGAAATGTTGACACAAATGGTTAGGATTCTTGCAGATATTTTTCCATTAAGCTATATAAAATTGAGAAAGCTTCATTAAATTCATGTTTATTACAATCATGTTGATTTTGGGACACAAACATGATGTTATGCCTCACAATAATACAAATGTTATGTTGGAAATCGAGGGGGGGGTGAAACCCGAGAGGTCAACAGTGACAGAAATCAATGTTTTTCTTTTCCAAACTGATTAAAGTGAAGGTAAAGTTCAACTCAGACCAGTGAAAAAGTGCAGCATAGCGTGATTTTAAAGGCAGTTATTTGCTAAACTGTGGTAAACAGAATGGGCTGTTACTTTGCCCGTGTGGGGGTGGGTTGCCTCATTAGCTTCTCTTTTATTTACAGATCACGCAGTCAATCCTAATTTAGGTCAAACTTTCTATCATGCATCTTTCACAGCAAATAGTTAATCCAGGGTTTCACGTACACTCACATTTGTGCCAAATTTCAGGAAAGGTACATTCCTGGTAGGAAAGAAAAGATCTTGTTGTGGTTTTCGAACTCCTGACTAGGAGTGCTACAATATATCCGGCTTTGGCCTTGGCCAGCACAAAAGAGCTTAGTTTCTGTCTGACAATGAATTCTTCATGAAACATTGATTTACCTTCTTGGTTTATGGATTGCCTTGAAGTTTCCATGTCTCCGTATCCTTTAAATGTGTGAAGATTATACCTTAATTCAGGAAAAAACAAGAGGTAATGTTTCTTTATTCGTCTCATGTTAACATGTACAGTTGAAGTCAGTGTTATTTGCCCTCCTGTGAAGTTTTGTGTCCTTCTTCAAATATTTCCCACTTGATTGATCCCACAGATTCAGGGATTTTTCACAGTATTTCCTATAATATTTGTTCTTCTGGAGAAAGTCTTATTTGTTTTATTTTGGCTAGAATAAAAGCAGTTTTTTATTGTTTTCAGGCCATTTTAGAATCAATATTATTAACCCCCTTAAGCAATGTTAGTTTTGGATTGTCTCAAGAACAAACCACTGTTATACAATGACTTGCCTAATTACCCTAGTGAAGCCTTTAAATGTCACTTTAAGCTGTATAGAAGTGTCTTGATAAATATCTATTTTTAATATTGATTTATATATATAATATTATTTACTATCATCATGGCAAAGATGAAAAAAATGAGTTATTAAAACTATTATGATTAGAGATGTGTTAAAAAAAATATAGAGAGGGGGCTAATAATTCAGACTTCAACTGTATGTAACAGCACTGGCTGTATCAGAACAGAATTAAATTATTTCTATTTAATTAATGCAAAACCTCTTTATATAATCTCAATATACAAGTCATTGGTTGTATCCTACAATATTGACAACAGTCAGAATAACATCAGAATAACAAAGTGCTTAAATGATTAAAAATGAGAAGTAATACTGACAGCAAACTCATCGTTATTCAGCTCATGATCAGAGGCTCCGGGGAGAAATTAGCAGTATTTAGGAGACACTTTAAGAGATAGTTCACCCAAAAATGAAAATTCTGTGATCATTTTCATCTGTTGAACACAAAGGAAGATGCACTGAAGAATGCTGAAACGCATGACCATTGACATCCATAGTAGGAAAAGCACACACTGTGGAGGTCAATGGCGAATTCTTCAAAACATCTTTTGTGTTCAACAGAAGAAACTCAAACTAGTGTTGAACAAGTCAAGGAATGAGTAAACGATGGCAAAACTCTTCATTTCTGGATGTACAATCAACTTTATTTAATCAGTAAAAGGATCAATCTGCCTCTTCAATGCTGATCCTGCAAGGATATCGATGGACACGTCATTTGAGGAGGATGTGTTGTTTCTCTAGAGATTATAAGAGTGACGATTACATAAATCCACCCTGAAAGAGTTGAACACCGGCACTCTCAACGCCTCAGTTTTCACCTGTACTTCAGTCTGGGTGGCGATGCATTGGGTCAGATTGATAAGATAAGCTAAACCTGATCATCAGTTGTATTTTAGCTCCTGCATGTTGTGTCGTGTGGCTTCAGATCATGACACGGGTTTTTGTTGCTTGACTTTAAAGATGTGATGCAGATGTCATTTAAACAGTGACTTAATAATAATTCAACTAAAATATAATAATTAAGACTTTCATTCATCAAGCCTCACTTCATTACCATGATGAAATGCACTGATGCTAATGCTTAAAGGGGCAGTTCACCCAAAACTGACAATTCTGGCATCATTAATCTCTCTTTACTTATTAACATGTATCAACACTTTTATTATTATTAATTATTATTAATAAAAGGCCCTCCACCACCACCTTACTCCTCCTAGCTCATTGAGTATATTGGCATTTCTTAGAGCTCCCTCATCCTCAAAGTCCAGAAAAATACCAGAATTCCTGAGCAACTTGGGGCTGTTGCTGTATATGGAGGATGAGGGAGCTCTCAGATTTCATCTAAAATTTGTGTTCAAAACATTTTTTGCCAAAAAGAAACATGTTCATTTTAGTCTAGGACTGTTCAAAATAACATTAGAAATCTAGAAGTCTACAATTACTTTAGGGGTCAGTGTTAGTGATGTACACTTGCATCCACAACACAAGCTGAAGAAAACAAGGCCCTCCACCACCACCTTACTCCTCCTAGCTCATTTCTGATATCAGTAATTCTGAAATCTGAGAGCTCTCTCGTCCTCAAAGTCTAGAAAAATACTCAAATGTTTTTTTCTGGTAGTTTCTGGACTTTGTTTCTGAGCAACTTGGGGCTGTTGCTGTATATGGAGGATGAGGGAGCTCTCGGATTCCATCTAATAAATATCTTCATTTGTGTTCAGGGGATTATTTTCACCAATAAATAAAATACATGCTCATTTTAGCCTAGAACTGTCCTAAAATCTATCATTTTTAAACCTTTTGCTTATCATATAAACCTGACCCAATGCATTGTACCGGCGCCAGTGTTTCCTAATCATCATCATCATCATCCTCAGGAGAAACAACACTTCCTCCTCAATATGCCGTCAGATTTAACCATCCGTATCCTCGAAGTCGACCGCTGGTTTCCATTTCCGACTGCACAGAAGAGGCAGTTTCCTGGGAGAGATGACGATGCTGATCCTGCAGACTCTGGATCGGGCTCTGGTTCTGGATCAGTTCTTCTTTTTTACCATTTGCAGTGAAGAAATGGCTTCTTTATGATGTTTTTGTTGATTTTTATGAGTTTTTTGTAGAAAATCTTGATTTTTTTTTCTTTTTTAAGATGAGGGGATTTTCTGTAGAAGACTTTGCTGCTTTCTATGTGAAGTTCACACTGAGGAAAAGCAAAAGAGGAAATATTACAGACATGTCTAGGATTTGTCTAGCGCATACTGTATCAATAAAACGAGAAGCAGCACAATAGAAAACACATGTTGTCTGTGAATGGCTTCATAAAGCTCCAACAATCGACTGATGAAACAATTCCTGCTAATGTTTGACTAGAGAGTTTATGAGTGTTTATTACAGAAAGTAAGGCCAGTCGGTGTGAAGATGCTATATGCAGCTAAGATTTGAGTTAAAACATCCTCATACTGTACATGCATGTGTGCAATTTTACTGACCAAATCATTTATAATCTTTTCTTAGTCACAACTGTGACAATTTGTGAGATCAAATGTTTGAGTTTAAGTTATATATGTATTTATCTAAAATATATATAATATATATATTATGTACCATTGTACCAGCGCCGGTGTTTCTTTATCATCATCGTCCTCAGAAGAAACAACAATTCCTCCTCAATATGTACTCATATATAACATACATATCAAATATTATGTTATATATTTATTTATTTAAAATATATATTGATAACACTGTGTTGGACTGACTCAAGTTGTATTTCATAGTATAAACTGTGTTTTTTTTTTAGTTGGTGCTAAGCATATTTATTACATGGAAAATTAGCCCTCGATTTAAATTAATTTAGTCTTAAATTTGAGTTTACAAAGCATCCCAGCGGGCACAAATAATGCAAATTGATTTAATAATTGATTAACTTGATGTAAAATCGACATTAAACCGACATCATTGGCGTCAAAAAACAGGACACCAATTTGATTGATTTGATCATTTTGACAACAAGGTAGTTTAAATGCATTGTAGGTATACAAAATCCAGCGTAAATGAGAATACAACTTCTCTTATAATACATTTTGCGTTATTATTTTGGGGTTTTGAGTGTACAAACCATCCCAGAGGGCACAAAACCACATCAAAAATGCAAACTGATCTGATGTCAGTTGAACTAGACGTCCAGTGTTAGACGTCAATTTGATGTTGTTTAGACATCAAGCTAGTTCACATCTACTGTAGGCATATTTATAATTTACAAATGAAGCTTTCAGATTAATAAAACATTTCATATAATATTTCTGTCATCATTTTGGCGGTCAAAACAACATCACTGTGTGGATGTCAAATAGACGTCAAGATTTTGACATCAAACTATTCAGCATTTTGGACATGCTTTTGTAATGTCCATTTGACTTTAAAGTACCTGATGGAAACTGCATTGGCCGATCAGTCTTGTAAATGTTGTTTGCTTCAGGCTGAGTGTTTACCTTCATCTATGTTGAGTCTTCATCCAAGTGCAACTTCATCCAGTCATGTTGTAAGAACTCATCCAGTGTCATGCATTCGTTCAGACACTTTTCGATCAGGTCACTGCATTCTGTACAAGGAGAAAGATGGTTAATACACTGCATATAAGACTACATCTTACTTATAAGACTGCACAATATGCACTAAAGCTGACATTTATCAAGGTTCCCTTCTGAAATTTGCAATTAATAATATACTACCAATGGCTGTATCCTAAACCGCCCCCTATACACTTAATAGTGCAGTGCCAAGATGTGCATAAATCTTCAAAAACTTGAAAAATAAAGTTTAAATCTTTTAATGAAAACACAGCTAGGGTCTGTTCACTCACCACTGGTTAAGCTGGGTTCATGTAATGTACAGGGCTTGGATTTAGCAACACCGAAATTCAGCATGCCTCCGGTCACCATGAAATACAGCAGGTAGCCTATATCCCAGGCGCTGGACAAGACGGCTCTATGGTAGTTTAGTGCCAGCACTTTGAAAGCACAGCCGAAGTCAATCAGCTTGATCTGCCAAGTCTCCGTGTTGACCAGGATGTTGCCGGGATGCAGGTCGTTGTGCACAATGCCATTGTCAAAGCAATGCTTGACTGCCAGGACTATCTGTCTCACCAGGCGACATGCCACAGGTTCCTCCAGCTTGCCGCGATTGCGTATACAGTCCCTCAGTGCTTCACAAGGCTTTGGGTACTCCATGACTATTGAAATGTATCCAGGTTCATTAAACCAGTCGTACATTTCGATCACGTATGTGCATAATGGCGGACGCTTCAGCTTGAGCATAAACGCCACTTCTGCAATCACCGGTTTGGCCGCTAAATCAGGCTGAGGAGAAAAAGAGAACAAGGGTTAGGAGATGCAGATCTGAAGAAAGGCAGCATTTAAAAACACTTCATGCACAAACGTGTTCAGATTTTCAGAAAAAGAAAAAATACAAAGTCTCTCAGGCATTCTGAATGGGGCAATTGTCTTGAAAATTGCTTGCCGAATCTACGATTAAATGTCATATTAGGAATCAACAATAAGATTAAACAAGGGAGCTCTCAGATTTCATCTAAAATATCGTCATCATTTGTGTTCTGATGATGAACGGAGCTCTCCAGGATGAGTGATTGATAACAGAACTGCCATTTTTGGGTAAACTAGTGTTTAAATGCACGCTACGTTGCTTTAGTATGTTTGTATTTATTTAGTATTTACAGTGCAGCGACGAACTGCAGTAACTGCTCACATTAATCAGATTTCAGCAAAATATCTGTGCAGAAAGTGCGGTCAGTTTTACAGCAGTGCAGCGATGCATGAAGAACAGCTAAATGACTTTCAACAACTTGATCATGAGTGAAATTTTCATCCAGGGTCAAATAACTGGATTTGGCCTTTTAAAATTCAACTACACAACAGTAAATGTGTCCAAACCATTAAAGAATTAAAAATTGACTGATTTTTTTCCAACTTACCATAAAGACGTATTGATCAGTGTTTCTCTTTTGAGTCTGCTTGACGGCAACCTGCAGAGAGGAAATACAATTATTATTATTTTCCACACATTCCTCAGTCTCTGATTTATTTAATCAACACTGATGCTCAATTAGACGATTTACAAAGGGAGCAACATGTGTGGTAAGAGTTTTACCTCTACGCGATCAGATTTACGGATCGCTTTGCGTACTGTGCCGTAGCTCCCGCTTCCCAGAACAGCTCCCAGACTGTAGAAACTTTCCAAATATCCTGAAAAAGGAAGAGATTGTTTAAGTGCTTTCAGGTCTGTCATACTGATATCTTACATTAACAAATAAATGTTGTATTAGCATATATAATAGTACTGACGGTAATCGTCATAGGCTCCTGAAGCTGAGATCTGGAGCCCAGACGGTCCAGGGACAGGCTTAGGATCTGGATGAGGCTTAGCAGCAATCTGGATCTGAGATGGTCTAGAAACAGGCTCTGGATCTGGATGAGGTTTGGCAGTATTCTGAATCCCAGATGGTCCAGGGACAGGCTCCTCATCCGAATCAGGCTCTTCATCCGAATCAGGCTCTTCATCCGGATCAGGCTCTTCATCCGGATCAGACTCCTTATCTGGATCTGTCTCTTCATCTTGAACAGGCTCTTTATCTGGATCGGGCTCTCGATCAGGATCTGGCTCTTCACCCGGGTCTGGCTCTTGATCTGGATCTTCACCCTGATCTGGATCTTCACCCGGATCTGGCTCTCGATCTTGATCTGGCTCTTTACCCGGATCTGGCTCTTGATCTGGATCTTCACCCTGATCTGGATCTTCACCTGGATCTGGCTCTTTACCCGGATCTGGCTCTCGATCTTGATCTGGCTCTTCATCCGGGTCTGGCTCTTGATCTGGATCTTCACCCTGATCTGGAGCTTCACCCGGATCTGGCTCTCGATCTTGATCTGGCTCTTCACCCGGATCTGGCTCTCGATCTGGATCAGGCTCTCGGTCAGGCTCTGGATCTTCATCATATTCTTGATCTGAATCTGGCTCTTGATCTGGACCTGGCTCTTGATCTGAATCAGGCTCTGAAACCAGATCAGGCTCTCGATCTGGACCTGGCTCATGATCTGGATTGTGCTCTGAATCAGGATCAGGCTCTCGATCTGGATCAGGCTCGTGATATGAACCGGGCTCGTGATCTAGATTATGCTCTGAATCAGGATCAGGCTCTCGATCTGGACCGGGCTCATGATCTGGATTATGCTCTGAATCAGGATCAGGCTCTTGATCTGGATCCGGCTCTTGATCTGGATCAGAATCAGGCTCCCCTTTGTTCCGTCTTCTGCGGAGGAAAGGCTTCTTCATGAGCTTCCACACCCTCCTGAAGAAAGCCTGGATTTTGTTCCTCCTGCTGCCTTGTGTTTGGGTTTCTTAAATGAAGAAAAACAACAAAGAACAGATTAGAGACGTGGCGGTCAGTTATTGTGTCGGCTATTAAGAATATATAAATATTATGTCAGACACCAGAGAGCATTTGATTGGTCATAAGATTTGATTTAGGTGGAAGAGACAAACTGCAAGCTTTACATGTTTATAGCTTTTAAATGTGAATTTTGTCAGTTTTGTACCACACTAGCTCATAGATATCCTTGAGTCTAATACACTGATGCTAACATCTAAGAAAAACATTGTAATTTCAGGAGAGCATTATGGAGTATATATTAATTTTTAGACATATGTCTATGAGAATAGTTGCTTTGTGTCTATAATAAGTAAAGTAAAACGATCACATTGAGCTGTTTATCTGATGATGTTCAATTATCCATTTTTAAATTAAGTTTATCCTCTTTCAGGGACTTTTGAGCTGCTGATTTTCTCAAAATACTTGTACTAAGAGGTGGCTTTTCTTATTTTGTGGTTGCAGACGGCCTCACCGGTTGTGTTTTCCTCCACACTGCTATCAGGAGAGGACTCATAAGGTGCTGTAGTGTCATCAGAATGCATTGACCAGTCCTCTTCCAGCCACGGACAGAAGTCACTGCAGAAGCTGATGGTCTCCAAAGATGAACCTGTACCACACAATCAGTTAAAAGTGTCAAAAAAATAAATATATTCATAAAATATCTTCATGGAAAATTATAAACTTTACCTAATAGTCAGAAAAACCTACATTTTGACTCATCTGAGTGTACTTTTGGCTATTGCTAAACATTTACTACACACACACATTAATAAAGGTGGTTTACAGGGACTCTGCATAGGCGTAATGTATTTTTTACAGTAAAACAGTTATTATATGGCCCCCAGATGCCCATTTAGGACAATTTGAGATTTCTCATCTTAAAGTCTGTGTAAAACCCATTATTGATAATTTCTCATCACTGTTTATTATTGTTTTTGTCATGTTTCATGCTTTAGTCTAATGGCTGCTGACAGACTCACCGGTTGTGTTTTTCTCCGCATTATCATCAGTAGCGGGTTCACCGGCATCTGAAACCACAGTCCAGTCCTCCTCGTCCAGCCATGGACAGAAGTTACTGCAGAAGCTGATGGTCTCCAAAGATGATCCTGAAAAACAAAATCAATCATGAATCAGTCATAACTATTCATAACAAAATATCTCATGAACTATTACCTAAAGGACTGAAGATTGCCGAAAATCATTCATTTTGACTCACACAATGTATTTTTGGCTATTCCTAAACGTTTAAAACGTAAAAACCTTGCCATCTGAAATGTTCCTCTAAAATGAGCATTTCTATCAGGCTCTTGTGTGTAACGTTATGTTCTGTTATATCACTTTTATGGCAAAGAATAAGTCCTTTTCCTGATCTTTAAAGTGAAATATATCAACATAAACAAAGGAGACTGAGAAAAAATTTCATTTTCGATAGAAATTTCTGATGGCACTTATATTTATGTATACGTATGTATATGTGTCTGTATTTTCTAATAGGACACATCCTGTGGGTTTTGAAATAGTATTGGATGTGGATTCATTGTTTTGGCTTGGCCCAGTGAAAAACAACTCGACAATTTACCTCACAGGACAACTTTTCCTCATTCCAGAGACTATTTTAAACCTATTATTGATCATATTTCATTATTTTTTCATATATAATGTGTGTGTTTTATCATTTACACATCTATTTGAATCCCTCAATACTTAATATACCTAATTTAATCATTTTAACACCTAATTAAGCTTGGGTGTTTGCTGACAGACTTACCGGTTGCATTTTTCTTCACTTTCTCAGCAGTGGAGGGTTTGTGAAGTGTTGTGTCGGCCTCTGAAACCACAGTCCCGTCCACCTGGTCAAGCCAGGGACAGAAGTCGTCGCAAAAGCCGATTGTGTCCAACCACAGACCCGCCTCCGCTTTCTCCATTCCACCACACACAGATGCTGTTGCTGCCATCGCGTGGTCAAATACAGGCATCGTGTTTTCACTCATAAATTCTTCTACTTCACTCGTAAAAGTGCTGTAAGTCGACAGATAATTAGTAAATCGATCCATTTACTCAAACTCTGTAAACGCGCTCAAATGACAATCCTTTCTCTTGCTTGATAATCACTGAACTGAAGCTTGGTATGCCGAGTGACGTCACTTTTGGACCGTTTGGAATGGCGTCACTAGGCGCGCTTATTTTTAAAAGTTGAGAGTTTTGCTCAAAGCTCAAAACAGCACAGAAATGAGTCAATATTACCGAGCCGGGACTGATTTATGTCTGAAACCGGGTCGTAAACAATAGACGACAGCCCCTGTCATGGTCTGCCTCAGACATAATAGCTCGTCAATGTCAAAATGTCAGCCAATCAAATCAAACATGGCGGGCTTTACAGTTCGCGGAGAATATTTCAAAAATAATTTCCAAAAATACAAAATAAAAGCTCGAGTACAAAACATCAAATTCACGAGTCAGTGTGTTTTTGACAGAATTTTCAGTGTCAGATGACTGTAAAATACTGACATTTTATAAAGGAAAAAAACATATATTAAATAATTGATAATATACATTATTCTTCTGGCTTTTTGATATATTTACAGACTCAGCTGTTTTTGATTGGTGAATGTAACATTTAGGCTACCTAATAATAAAAACTAAATCACAGTAAATATTATTTGGAAAAAAAAAACATCCATTTAAATAAAATAAAACTGATCAATCTAGGGGAACACGCAGCCAATTGAGAGAAAGTCATAGTTAAAGGTTCATTAATAGTGAGAAATTTATTGACGTGTGATCAAATGAACCAGGTTCTTAATGTGGGGATGTCTGTTACATAAACCTACGTATGTTTTATAAATACATTGAATAGATTTATAGCCATTTCAATGGATTAAAAATAAGCCATAGTTTTCGTTTAATTTTCATCTAAAAATCACTAAAATTCTGAAACCTAATTTAATATACAAGGTTTCTGGATATTGCTTTGGAATTTACAAATAAAACAACTGGCATGAGGTTG